AAATTCTATCAGCCTTGCGACCATAATTTGCATGACACAGGTAGCACTGTCGATAATCGGCAACTATGAAAATGTCTCCGCCAAACTGAATAAGGCATTTGTCTGACTTTCTCATGATCTGCTGATCTAAGCGCAGAAGGCCTATAGTTTGGGAAATGGCGCTGTGGAACACTACTATTTAACTACTTAACAGGAAGCAGCTGGCCAGAAAAAAGGGGGATTTCCTTCCAATATATTTGATAATGAGGTGCCTTTCCGTATAAGATTATCAAAAAGTATTTTAATGACAACACTGATGCTTCCAATATATCCTCAATCCTCAAGCCCTGAAGGTTAACAGGAATTTCATATTTATTGTGAAAGGTTGGTAAATAAAAAATAAACATAATCAATCATCATCTTCCTTTAGTCATATTAACAACCTTTTGGATTTATTTTCACAATAAAAGAGACTGATATATATATATATCTTTGCAACAATAAGATGTGTGAGACAGATTTTCTCCTGAATATGTTCAGAATCTGACTGTATCAAACAATCGATTCGATTACTCTTCTTCGTGTGGTGTCGCACAAAATGCCATCACTAGATACGTCCAGTATATTCTGTCCTGCGACCATCGTTTAAGTTGTCCCCACGTCCATCCTGTTGCTTTGATTTCCTTCTCGCTTGACCGCCTCCATGTTTCCTGGGGTCTTCCTCTCTTCCACCTTGCCAGATGATGTCCATCTCATTGTTTCCCTTGTGATGGAATTCTGGGTGCATCTTGTAGACATATCCAATTCACCGCCATCTTCTGTGCTTTATTTCCTGTGACGGAGTACAGTGTTGGTTCCCCTATATAATTCTGCATTGGAATTAGTATGAGGCCAGGATATTCTCAAGATTCTATGTTGAAATCTTGTTAAGAAGACATCCAGCTGGTCAGTGATGCTGTAGGTTATGCTCCGTGATTCTGCACAATAGAGATGGACCCCGATATCTTCAGATTGGTGGTGTTTAATATGCAAACACTCCTCTGGTCTTTGCAATACGGGTTTTCACCTCTAACTCGGAGTTACCATCTGAGGCTATCTTGCTTCCAAGTCTCTCACCTCATCTATGTTAGTGAATCAAGCTGGATGGGGTCATTTGACCTCGTGCTGACTTTCATTATCTTGGTTATTCACCTTTAACGTATATAGTATTGTCACATAGTGTCAACGATATACCTCAAACAGTAGACATTGTGTTGTTGACGCATTTCGGATTATTACATATGTGTTCTATTAATATGGATAACTCATATTGAAATCCCTTTATGATAAATATATCATTTACACTGCATACAGTGTGTCGTATTGCTTTAGTAACTTCGATTAAGTTTGTTGTAATGTAATTATAATCTACTACATACTCTGTAAGAAACATCAATATTGAAAAAGTGCAAGACAAATTAGATACATCCTTTCAGTAATAGAACAACAATGATATAGACATGTTACACTCTGCAAATGACCAATTTTTCAGTATTTAAGATAGACTCGGTATAAATCAAGCAAAATAAATATGTTTATTACGTAAATAGATTATTTGTGAAATTTATACGACAGAAGAAATAAGTAGATTTTCATTTCCTTTATAAAGATTGTAAGAACAACCTCTGCCAGTTGACATTTGATTTATAAACGCAATCTAGACTCTGCCACGCCAGATTTCTATCTTTTATTTGGTTCCCAACGTACACGCAATCCATTGGTAATTATGTTATGGTTGATAATATAGTCATGAACCACAGTGATTCAATGCCATCAATTATATGTGAACCCCTCCCCTTCCGTGTGTAGCTTCACACAGTATGTTATGTCCGCATTGGTATAACGTTTCCTTCAGTTTAATTACATACTATATCGTAGTTACAGTTTAACATTGATTTAACATTTAATCGATATTCTTCATGTACAACCGTCATATAGAACAACAAATAAAGCTTAACAGAAACACAGTCGACCCTATCAACAAAGCAAATTTGGTATGTTCAACGCTCCGCCAAAGTAACCAGAGGACCAAAGTTTAGTTATAAAGCACATCTAGATAGATATTACTTACCTTTGTGATTTCTTTGTGATTTCTTTGTGATTCGAAGTAATCACAAGTTACACTTTACCAATGGCCTACGTTTTGAAAATACATACTGGTATTATGGGATTCAATAGTCTGTTATTTTTAAAGACAGACAAATAGGTATGTGTAGGTATTACCGGCATTATGTAAATCACAAGATTCTTATTTTTAGAGACAGACAAATAGGTATGTGTAGGTATTACCGGCATTATGTAAATCACAAGATTCTTATTTTTAGAGACAGACAAATATGTATGTGTATCTATATCTAACATTTAAGTGGTATTTTCCGTGTCTCTAGTGTGCGTCTTTGTTGTTTGTGGACCGCACTCTCTCACTAAGTGCATTTCCTGTTTGGCCGATGTAGTGTTCCTTGCAGGTTGAACAGACTATTACATATGTTTAAATTCTTACTTTTGCAGTTTATATTATTGTTTGATTTTATTGTTTTTCCATTTTGTAGAGTCAGATGATTGCCGACACGTATGTAATTGCATGTTCCACATCTTAAGTCTTCACATTTGGAAACAGTAAAACTTTGTTGTCCGGAATTATCAAATTTGGCTCTAGTAAGAACCCTTTTGAGATTGGCTGGTTGCCGTTTACTCTGTAGAATTACCGATGCTTGAATCAAATTCCGCATTTTTTCGCATTTTTGAAGTAAAGGAATAGCGTCCTTTGCTGCTTGAGTTGGCCGTTAGGCCTGAAAACGTTAGCGGAATACATTTGTCGTGTTGATTTGAATTTTTTTTTAACTGTAAAATATATATATTGTAACGTTATGCCTCTGTACACATTGTCTCTGTTTTAATAATAGGTAAGAGTTATTTCCATTGTTATGTTGTCATTTAGATAGTTAATTGTTAATTACTGGATAATCTTTTGGTATAATTTAGGTGTAGTTATTTCAGAATGATAAGCGTATGCACCTCTTACATAATTAAGCATTCGGTTAATGTTAGGTCTTTTTGTACAAGTTTGGACAGGGCTGTAAAGTTAATAAAGTTAGAGTAATCGTCGTATTGCTGTATAAGACGGCGGCCGTATGGTGGTCTGTGGGCTTCAACTCTGGCAACCAGGTCACGTGTTGGAAGCACGGCTACTCTGTGTAGTACGTGGATCGGCTGATCCACTTTACACAGCTGTAAGCTGGAGCCTTGGACTGCCATACCCTGCCGGTATCTAGAGAGGGGCTGCGCCCAGGCAGTCGATATCCTGCTTTCCGGGCTGTGACTGTCAGCCAATAGCCTTTTCCAAACTTAGCGTATCGCCGCCGGTAGGGGCAATTGTACCTGGGGTGCTGTTCCTTGCTCAATAAACTGATAACTGTCTCCTGGTCATCTTTGGCTCGGCCGGGCCATCATTCCTAAAAGATCCCACCCACTAGTGTCCATAGTAGGGCACGGAAACGTGGCGTGTTTCGGGGCCCGTTCTGCCAGCGCTACCAACTAGGGCAGACCCCGCACACGTTACAATATATAATATATATATATATATTTATGCATGTTTTATTTGGGAGTTTGTGCACATATTCTTAAACTGTTGTGAATAGCCTGTGTTCCGCGGATTAACAGTCTAATCAGTGTAAACAGACCACACTAACACATTCTTATGTCATCTAGGCAGTTCATGGTTAAGTATTTAGTCCAAGTTCTATCATGTTTGATTAACAATATAATTATCATTAATACGACCCTTCAGTAAAAGAAATACGAATAATTGAAATTGTCTTAATCTGAACCAAGGGAAAGATCAATCGTGACTGTAACCCGAAGCGACCACGTGGTGTACCACGTTTGCTTATGCATGGGGATATTTAAGATTCAACTGATTCCGATCTTATTTACATTTCTTATTGTCCTGTCCGTGCTCTAAATTTTATAACGAACGTGTATGACGTAATTCGGTGTATGTGTTACAATGTAAGAGAGTGTTTGATGTTATGCAGGACAGCATTGGTCGTCATTGTCAGCGATTAAGACCTACAACAAAATACTACATAGGTAAGTCCAGTTAATCATGACGAGATAATACGTTATCACTCTGGTTAAAGTGTTTTGTAACAAGGAGAAGATGCTTGCTAGTTTGTTACCAGGTTGTGCGAGCTAAATTACAAACGCATAAATCTGGATAGAATATTGTTAGTTCTCAAAAATAAGCTGGTAACCTATACGTCTGTCGAATCGTATAGGTAAAGGGACATTGGTTGCTTAATTCTAAAGGAAGTAATTTTCTGACATTGTATCATATTGATAAGTTTAATTCACACGATGTATATAATACATGAAGAGAAAAGGTCGCTCTAACGTACAGACACACTACGGTGATTGGTGAGGCTTTATTACATCTCAAACGTATGGAGACTGAAATCCGCGTTTAGTTACCTTCGCTATGATCGGTGCTCTGCTTATCACTTTTATAACGAATCATTTCTTAAAATAAGAAATGCTCCATTACATTCACCTTTCAATGTACGTGTGAGTATACGTAAGTAACTATATATGGTAATGGTGTTTGTACATTGTGAAAATCTTATTTAGACAATAAAACTACTGTGTCGACATCCATGTATTCTTATAACTTCTATATGTTTTCCCAACCCATCAGAAACCTGAACTGAAGGGTATATGTGTATATATGACACTATCAGATGTATTGATACATTGGCCTCATCACTGTAGATCGTAGTATATAGACTCATATACTACAATTTGATGCACTAACGACTTGTAGGCAAATACAACACAGAATGTAAGTATACATCCCAAATTGTTGTCATATCGACTGTATACTACCATTTGGTAACTGTTCAATGCTTAAATATGATACTGACAAAATTAATGTCTAGATTGTACCTGAAACACTATTTTTATATCTAGCAAAGAGGAATCATAAAATGGATGTGATTGAGAAGGTAGAAAGAAAGGATGAGCGTGGCAATACCATCCAGTATTCACTATACAAGGGCTTTGTATTTCCTCCCGTTATCTCGAGTAACATCCGGGACTTGGTAATCAACACTGCCCAACTTAAATGTCGACAGGATGATGTGTTGCTGTATACTTACCCCAAATGCGGTATGAACCTTTAGTATTTATGCTGGCGCATCCTGAAGCTAATATGATCACTCTATTGTTACACATTGTGTATATTCACAGCACAGAATTGAACGGAAAACTCTTTACCACTTTAATCACCACCATATGATTGAGTTGTCCATCACGCCATTTGCCACATGTTGAATAGTTTCAAAAATAGGAATGTTTGATTAGCAGAAACAATTTGACTTAAAAATATTACCTATAACTGTTTTATTTGATAATATATTTTTGAAATTCTTAAACATCCAACGTTCTTTTTTCTAAAACATAGCATTTGATCTATAACAATTCTGTCAGGAAAGCTTTATGTAAAATGCATTATTAAATATCTTGTATCTTCTAGGAACACACTGGATGTACAACATATTACGTATGTTTCTCACCGGAAACCTCACATATGCCGGTACTCCGGTGTATCTGGAGTTTTTCGATATTGATGTCATAAACAATATGCAATCTCCAAGGCTGTTTGCAACTCATCTAGAGTTAGATTTGCTTCCTGATGACATGAAGAACGGCATTGGCACGGTTGTCAACATAATCCGGAATCCTAAAGACGCTGCTGTCTCTTACTATTGCTTTTTGACCTCTTTAAAGAATGTTGGATTCACTGGGGGCTTCGATGGATTTCTAAATTTCTTTCTAAAGGATGAATGTATGTTATTCCATTATCATAACGCTTTATAATAGTCAATGCACGATTATGTCAAGCACATTATAATACATTCCTGCATTATCAGAATGTATGACAAACTTCTTGCTATGAAAGTATGTCATTAAGAGTACAGGCAACTGACACACAACAAATATAATATTATACGTAAAACATGGGCAACTGATATTTACTCGTAAGATATTATGTTATCTGAACAATGACACTTTTTTGATAATGTCCATTTAAGATTTTGTAATGTGCACTATATACATAAACTAACGGGCATACGGGTATAACAATATCAAATGCCATTAAATTGATAAAGAACTATTTACATTATATTGTAGTTTTCTTTGGAAATTGGTTTGCTGTCATCAAAGACTGGCTGGATATTAAAAAGAAGTACCCAAAGATGAGGACTCTTATGCTTTACTATGAAGATCTGAAAAGGGTAAGTAGGAAGACAAAGATAAGACCATGTAAGTAGACCTGTGATATCCATAGTAGGTAAATAATCAATATAGATATTACTACTCAAATAAGATTAACGGAATATGAGATGCATAAAAAAATCTCTTGATATCTATTTTTCTAAGTTATCAATTTTTTTAATTTCTTTTGGATTAAAAGGTTGTATTTAAAGGTGATATTCACTTGTGTGTAATTTGTACAATTTTCCTTGTAACAATATTTCCACGTGGTGTTGTAAAAAAGTTATATGTGCCATACTTACAACAGTATAACTAGTCTATTGGTCACGTCTACTAAGATGCATGGCCTGTTTCTTTTTATCTGATTAGCTAGCAATACACATAGAATGTTTGCTTTTACTTTCATTTATCATTATAGCTATACAGACACTTCTTATAGGTTCTTGAATACTGACATTTTTCATTCATCACTATAGATATATCTGCATCGAACATGTATTCAGAGCGATTGATAGAGTACAGTTTCACATTACTAATCAATGTTGCAGAATACACTTTCAAATCTGGAAAGAGTTCAGGAATTTCTTGGAATTACTAGCGATAAGGATTTCTGCAAAAAGGTGATGGCTTGCACGGACTTCACAACAATGAAACAAAAGCACAAGGAAGAATCAAAAAGCATACAGGAATTCAAAGATTTTAGTGAAGACGGGGTTCTTCCTGTGTACAGGAAAGGTCAGTATCATGTATAGATCTATCATAAATATATATTGTTTCAAGTAAGAAGTATAACGTGAGTGCTAATAAGCTAATATGCGAGAAAGATTTCAAAATATGATTTAAAAGATCGGTAAACATTTTGAAGTAAGTATTGACCAGTTTCATCTTACCTATGAGTATATTGTGATCGATTTCAAAGTTACATAATTTTACATAGAAACGTTTTTACGAATTAATTATCAAGATATAAAGTAATTTCACAGAAAGGTATTTTTCCTTGATATTCCTCCTCAAAATCGTCGAGGGAGATTTCGACTTGGTAATAAACCCATATGAAGTCCTTTTATAAATAGTGACCCATCTTTTCGTAATAATTATTTGAGTATCAAACTAATCATTTGATTTTTCTAATCCCCATAGTCGAACCTATTTTACTATTTATCCATCGACGTTTGTTCTTGTTATCTATTTTCTTCTTTAGGTGAGATAGGGGACTGGAAGAGATGGTTTACGCCAGAACAAAGCCAACATTTTGATCTTATTTATAAAGAAAAAATGCAAGGATACGATGTAGATATAGTATTTGAGTGAAAATTCCACACAAAGTAAATAAAACCATGAGGACGCCATCATAAATCCAAATGTGTGAAAATGACTAACATATCCTGAAAAATAAGGTATCAAATTACCTAATTGTTCACAATATTTCCCTTCAGATACGAAAGTGTTATATATACACCAACATTATTCCTGGTCAGTAATCTTCAATCGTGTAAACTTGCGAAAACTCAAGGTGTTGATGCAGTAAATATTAAAAGGTTACAATGGCCAGTTTTGATCTTAACAATTTAAGGCGTTAATTTTTGTGACCCCGGTTCAGGATGCTGTTTTCAGTGTTTATTTGCTTAGAATATTGCATCAACTGTTCATATTGAAAAACTCATGTCGAATGTCTTTTTAGCTAAATAAGTAACTCTGAAATAACAAGAAGATCATATTATACTAGCTGATTGACAAGAGTAATATGTTTAAATTTCTTATTGACTTTGGGAACATTACCAAATATTTTTGATAGAGTAGATAGTGTATGATGCTGGAACTGTCCACTCAGACTACATTCAACAGATGCATTTCTTTGATATTCAAGTGATCCTTGTATTCCTTATTCATGTTATCCGTTGTATGATAAATAAAATTTATATCATAAAATAAATACAATTGTGTTAGATGGTTACTTTATATATTCCTGTATATATATATATGTATATTTATCATAATCCTGCAGATTTTCTTCACATTATAATGTTATGTAAGTTGGCTCTTGCATGATTTTGTTAGTTGGATTAAGATCTTGAACTCTGACCACCTGGTGACCATCTGTTACCCTATTTAATTTATATCTCTTGTTGTTTGGATGTTATGTGTGCACGTCTTAGCGAGGGCTGTGTTGGTCAACTCGCTATGCGGTCACGGTTTTAGCTTGACCAGTCAGCAGGGGCTTTTCACGTGATCAGCGGCAGTAGTCGCAATGCTGTGCGGTCAGGGCCTGGATTGACCAATCAGCGTGGCGCGCACCTCTTCGTGATTTTGACAGCGTCATATCTTCATCATTTTTTTATGCTGCTTTCGAAGTCCCACCCTTACCACACTACCACATTTTGTCTTGAGCCAGCTTATCTATCCATGTTTTTGTGTTATTTAAACTTATGTTTGTATGCGGATAATTTGTACCCCATCTTTCTGTTGTACACATAAACTGAAGTTAATGTCATTCAGATCTATATATTATATAACAACATTGATTGATATAATGGGTGTATTTGAAATGTTACTGTCATTTAATAAATGACCATTTGACAACATTTCTTTGTTGTTTTTTGTTTATAAGATATGTACAACAAATCACAAGCTGCAGTCTCTGAGCTGGGTTACCATGCTAACACAAACATATTTACTACATTATCCGACTATTACCCATTGACTTCGCTCATGTATAGCTTTGCTTAAGTGTCACTCCTGTAATATATATCATTGGACATTTTGTATTGACTGCATCACTCAGAAATCTACTCTAAAGTCGCAATGATTGACAATGGCGTTACTTTATGGTACAGGCAATTCTGATTTTGTCCTTTTACTTACCTGTTAAATGTAACTTTTTTATAGTAGTGTGATGAAAAGTATTGCAGAATTGTTTCTATATATTATCAGCATTGTGTTGTAGGGGCGCCTGTAATACACATTATCTTATCGTGAATAAATTACCTTGATCCATGGTTACGTGTCCGTGACACTGTTTGTATTTACGTTGTCTCTATCTGCATAAAACAGGGGCATCAGTAACTCACCGCTAAATGTTAGGTCAGCCAAGTAAACTTATGACAACGTTGCGTCCGTCCGTCAACGTTTTCATACAAATCGATACTAGTCATATACGAATTTGAGGATTTTGATAAAAATTGGTCAGAAGAATCCTTATAAAAAGTGATATACATTTTGTTTAAATGGTGGGCCTTGGCACCCGGAGGCCTATAGGGCGGGACGCAAAAGGGAAAAGTTTTAAATCCTACTTCCCCTTTAAGATTGATTGGATTTTACCCAAATTTGGTCTGAGGCATTGTTTTAGGAAGGGGAATCAATCTGGTATAAATAGTAGGAATCAGCCGTCTGTTGCGTGAGGGGTGGGATTCAGTATAATATGGGTAATAGATCAAATTAAAAAAAAAAAATCTCCTCCTGTAGGAATTATTGGATTTTACCCACATTTCGTTTGAAGCATTGTTTGATGAATGGGAATCAATTTTGCATAAATGTTGAGTTTCGGCGACCTCATGCGGGATGGGCAGGTCAACGAAGGAGTAATAGAATGTAGGAATGATAGAATTTTGCCAAATTTGGCCAGAAGGTGTGGAGGGGAACAAGGTTTCTGTAAGGATTGGTTTTCGGTTCCTAGGGGCCTTAGAGGCGGGACCCAAAGGGGAATAAGTGTTGAATTGTAGTTTTTCTCAAGGACTAACATTAACTTTATTTAGCCTAGCGCTACCTAGAGGGTCATTTACTAAAGGACACCTTTTCTCCGTAAGACGTTCCACGCTACAATTGATTGGTAACAGCAGTGTAATTTTACTCCTCGCTATCTTCAATTTGCTTCATTTCATATGAAATTTTATGGAACTTGTCTTGTAGTTTTTATTTCAACTGAACATTTCTGAGAATTTTATCATATGAAAGAAAATTCGGTTAAGATCAAATTCATACATTTTTATGTTACCCAACATGGCAAATTCCCTGAAAAACAGCTGCCTTCAGAGGTCATAAAGAGATTATCACTCGACATATCAAAGCGTATATACGGCTGGGGAAAGTTCAACGAGTATTAAGTCAGGGCTAAAGCAAAATGGTATCATCATATTGATAAGGTCTCTAAGTGTAATGTAATCATATGAATTTGTTAAATACAATTTTAATCATAAGCTTAAAACCACGACACATGCATTCATTCAAGGTATAGTGGATAATAAACATTCTGTAAGAAATGAAGAAGTAAAATAGGTGGATACACTTACCTTAACATTTGAACCTTGAAGAATAAAACTGTATGCGTTATTTCCCGTGATACATTTAATTAGAAATCCATTAAAATCAACATTCTTACTTAACTGGTGTCCCTAATTGGTGCTTCTATTTGAAGAGGTTAACTAGATGTTTACATTGTACCTATGTTAAATAGTCTTATAGGAGGTATGTTCACAATATAATTTGCATTAAGCAATGGAGAACAATGATTTTCCATAAATAGTAATGATGACCGAATGACTTTTGGTACTTGAAACAGGAGTTTATCCGAAGTAGGGTCGAGCTTATCCAGGTCATATAAGTGTAAATAATTTACCCATATCTAGATTGTTTACAAGTCCCTATGAGAAATAAGTAGTTAGAGCAGTGTCAGTGATTGATTCAGGACGGGATAGGATAGACATAGGTAGCTATATAGGTTGTCCACTACCACCCATAACTTATCTCCTATACAATGGCGAGAGTGTAATATGTTGTAGTCTTTATATCGTATATTTATGCCCCTTCTCACACCGGAGCATTCAAGTATGCGTTAGATGAATATTCATTATTGAAACATAAAATTTCATTATTTTGTTGTGTCGTTTTGTTTAATATGATAAATATATTTAATTTATTTCACGTTTCATAGACAGTTATCATCAGAAATGATTTACCTATAAATAGATATGAGGTGTTACGTTGTCATGGGTGTAAAAGTGTTTCAAACAAAATCGTAGTGAGAAACCTACATGTTAGATATAATTAGTCATAAAGAATTGTATGAATTGATTTAGAATTATTTTATCGAATATATCTACTTATTTATATTTCAAACATCATAACCAGTTGAGGAAAGAATAAAGACACTTATAATAGGAAAAAACAAATGAAAACGGGCTATGTATGAAAACATGTAAATATTTTGTGAATCATAGATTTAGGAAACTTTAAATTGTAATATTAATTTCTGATTCAGCAAAATCCCACCTTGACTGTTATTATCCAATAAAGGTGAAAACGTTGTTGGTAACCAAAGTATATGATGGTGTTATAACTGTTTTATAGTATCATGTTATTTTTTTATCTTCGAAATTGCAAGTGGTGGGTTCTGATGGTGAACTTTAATCCCGAATGATTGTTGTAACCTGCATTTCACGTTTCATTTATTCTAATATTGGCACCGTTCCGACTATCCATACGTACTGTACTTTACGTTTTTTTTCTGAAATTGTTAGAAAATTATATAATTGATTGAATTGTGGAACAAGTGCGCCTCCCCATTTAGATCGTGTTTGAATTACCTCGGCCGACTCCTTAGTATACAATATTAGGCTCACTGTCCAGTATTCGACGGATGGAACAGTCGTGATGACGAATGGATGTCTTTGAATGATGTTTTACTTGAACAAATAAAAGTCACAAAATATTAATTATATCATGCTAGTTTCATTTTTAAAAATCATGATAAGTACGGCTATATACATGTATACACTTCTATATCCAAACAAAAATTTAATTCGATAAAAGGGTCAAAATACGATGACTGAACATGTGACTGCTATCTGAGATGATACTGAGGTTGATTGCTACCAAATAACTTATCATTATTACCGCGACCACACAATGAGGAACATGCTTCTCTCCTTCACCCTGCTACTAGTGGTGACAGTAGCCCCCCTCACAAGAGGCGGGTCAGGCGATGATGACGCCCCAGGTTTCCAATACTGGTGGAAGACAAACACGAAAATATTTGAGGATTATCCAATAAAGTTCGAAAAACCTCTACCTAGCTGGATTTACGGGACTCTGGTAAGAGTTTTGTTTGATTATTTTTCCCTGTCAAAATCATGGTAAATAGTAGTAAATAGATAACCATATTTATATATGAACTATTCAGACACATGATACACTTAAACATACATTTACGTTCAGGAAATTAATAATAATAATTATTACTATCATGAATTGCAAATATGTAATTAAAATTAGGAAAACGTTTACGTGTTCAAATAAAAACAAATTAAAATCAAAAATAAAAAAGTTAAACTTTGATTCATTTACTGTAAAGTCTTGCTTTTATGGATAAACATAACTTGATAAATCCACTTATGCTAATTCAACATTGCATGGTCATATGAATTTGTTAATTACAAATGAAATCCTCCAAAATAAATCTCCCACAAAAATTGAAGATTTTACCGTCAACACTTGTAAACACTATTCTACTTAAACACAGGAACTGATTCCGGTCTAGTTCCACTAAACAGGTATAAAGGAATGATAGTTTGTGAACGATGAACAGGAGAAATTATCATAATATGAAAATAACGAAACTTATTTAATTACATAGCTGGTACATCTCCACAACTTGATTTCGAAATATCTTTAAGATAACCTCTAATGTTTCTATGTCACCTCATAGGTTAGAAAATTTTATGTCCTGGGCACTGACAAGTTATAGAAGGAAAACAAAGCTTTATAATGCAGTTTAATTCATTATTTGGCTCTTTTCTACCTAATTCAAAATTTGTATTAAATTAGATATTTAAGAATTTAATCTTGTTTTTATTGATTTCATGGATAATGCAGTTTAATTCATTTGGCTCTGTTCTATCTAATTCAAAATTTGTGTTAAATTTGATATTTAAGAATTTAATCTGGTTTTTATTAATTTCATGGGATGATGAATTGATTTGCTGTTGAAATAAATTCAACATAAAATGCTTCGCAGTTCATTAAATTTGCCCCAAGAGCAACAGTATATTTCATTCAAAATCATTTGTTTTTAATATTTGAACAAATCCGAGTCTGCAGTAACCAGAATTTGTGCAGGTCTAATGAATTAAAAATATTGTCCGGCATTTTTAATAAGAGGATAAAACAGTATAACTGAGGCAAAATACGATTATGCGATACACAAATATACAAAACAGTTTGTAAAAGCTGTAAAAATAATTTTGACAATACAGTTTACAAATTATGAAAATTCTTCGACAGCCTAGCGGAAGAATAACGTTTATACTGTGTTCTACGGTCGTCTTCCGCTTCCCTCCGAACTGAGAGGCAGCCATCTTTAAATTGTCATTGTTTTGTAACCTTTCTCAGTTGTCCTGGTATCCATGGCGTCAAAACATTGTCAAGAAGCAGTTCTTCGTCTTGTTGCAGATTTAATTTTCAGTCATTAAACAATTATTTAGCAGACGACAACATTCACACAAGCAGATATTAAGTCCAACTTGAGCAGATATTAACTTGTCTATTTTGCACAACCATATAGCCTTACTTGTTGAAAAATAAATGTATGGATGGCCAGGACTATTTCTTCTCGAGGGATTCAGGTTTATCAACATCGTTTTAATGATATGTTAACTTCATCTTGTAAGTGATACGTGTTGTTAGAAAATAATGTGAATCAGGTTGCAAAAATTAAATAATTGAATCAAAAGTTTATCTGATTGATTGTATTTTGACAGCTATTGAATATATTCCATCATGGGCACTGACCGAAAAATCACGATATGTAATTTATCATTTATATTATACACATGTTAGTATAAACACTAAGTATATATGCATTTAACTTGCAACTAATACCATCAACCAATCTGTTAAGGCTACTTTTGTATTTCTGTACAATTTATTTTTAATTAAATTTTAGTTAAATTCAAATCCTCAGCGTGTTTAATTTCATAACTGAAAACATGTATCTGTAAAATTTTCCTTAGAACTATAAATGTTTGCAAAAATATCAGATTTTAACCTTCATTCGTTTTTATGGTGTTGTTTTGTGTTTTTATCAGTTATTTGTAGTTGTGGAAATCTGATCTAACAAAATGTCACAGGCTGTGTCCTTTTAACACAATCTATTTAATTTTGAGACTTGTGCATATCCCCTTCTAGATTTGGTCTTTCGATCAATTGGAATTTTCCTGTCATCTCCTAAGCTTCAAATCTTAGGTCTAAGCATCACTAAATTTGTTTTTCAAGAGATGCACACACGTGTTGTGTGTCTTTGGGACAAAGACATGCATAAAAGTCTACCATGATGATCTAATACATGTCAAATTATAAGTTTTCGTCAGTGTTATATACTTACAATTCTCAGGTTATACATAAGACAAACAAGTGAATAGCACCTTTAAATCTAACGTTAGTCTACATCTACAGTGGTGTCAAATAAAAGAAATCCACCATAAAGCTGTTTTCTACTTCTAGAACTCATCAATTATACTAAGGGCCGTAATTGCTGAAAGCTCGGTGGCGACAGAGGAAATCAAAATTGGTCGAAATCAATATTGAAATCTAGATAATGAGATATGCTGGCACCAATATCAAAGACATTACACACATTTCAATACTGAATGACGTCAAAGCGTGGATTTCGTTTCTTGACGATGCTTCTTAAATTACCGTTACATCATTTTATTTTTCAATTGTAAGAACGTATGGAGAAAACACAATGTCCATACTTCACTCTTAACAAACAGATTTAGCGCTATTATTGAACCTGAAATGTTTTGATCGTACTTAAATATAAGTTTTTGTTTTTATATTAGATAATTCATATGCGTTTTTTTATGACAAACTTTATTTGGTCTCTGTTTATTAATTAACATAACGTATCGTGTATCTCAGCTTTTCATTACGTTAACTGACTACTAATGTGTTAGATACAGTTAACACCATTTTATACTTTGTTTGACATATTGTATTTTCTCTTCAGGTACGAAATGGTCCAGGACAGTTTGAGATGGGAAAACGTAATTTCACACAGGCTCTTGATGGTTACGCCAAGTTAATGAGTTGGAAGTTTCCGGGAGACGGTTCGTGTCTATTTTCCACAAAATTTATCCAGTCTTCTTTCTACAAAACCTCAGTGGAGCTGAATGACATTGCCCCTTATCTTAACTTTGGTGTAACCATCCCTCCGTATGATGACGAACAAAAAGTAGAAGCCATGGTCAATGCGATGGATAACATGAACGTGAACTTTTACAATTATTCCAATACATTTGTCGCAGTGACAGATTTATGGAAGTGCTATGAAATTGACCTCCCGACACTGGACACAGTAAGGCTGATTAACGCGAAGATTCCGACCTCAAATCATTCCAAAACTGACGATGTCATAAGTCTATTGTCGTCTGCCCACCCACTTCAGGAATATGGAAAGCCAGGAGTGTATATTGATTATCTAGGTGGAGCTGGAATGATTCCGGGCGTCGTCCAGGACAAAATTACCGTTATCAGGACCAAAGGCGCCGAGGATCACGAGGTTATTGCTGAATGGCGTCTAGATTCTGCACCGTACATGCATTCGTTTGCAGTAACGGAAAATCATGTGATATTCATCGGGCATCCCTACTATCAAAATTTCATGACAATGGCGGAAAATGGATATGCTGCAGCTGGGATGGAATGGAAGGCTGAAGAAAAGGCAAAAGTCTACGTTGTTAATATTCCGACTGGAAAGGTAGAAACCTTTGAGACTGACACAGTTTTCGCTTTGCATCATGCCAATGCTTATGAAGTAGGCAGTAAATTAACGGTCGATATTCCCGTTCAACCTAATCCGTATTTCTTTAAGAAATTAAACTTCCCATCTGTATTAAACGCAACCGAGAGGAAGTCAATGACTCTCATATCCAAACTAAGAAGATATACAATAAACATGGATAACAAAACCATTACACATTACGATTACCCGGACGCGATGAATATGGAACTTCCAAGCATCAACGAAAACTACAGATCAAGGCCGTATTGCTTTGTATACGGTGTCATATTCAACTGGAATGGTGAAGGTTTTAGCCACACGGGAATCGTAAAAAAGGACGTATGCGGGAAGACTGAAACCAAAATGTTCCAAATTCCTCATCATTACCCGACTGAAGTATGGTTTCTGCCTGCGCCTGAAGCGAAATCGGAAGATGATGGCGTGCTGCTTTTAGTAGTTTTGGATGGTGAGCGAGAGTTGTCCTATCTTGGAATTGTAGATCCGAAGACAATGACATTGATCAACAAGGCATATCTGCCCACTACGATTCCATTCAACTACCATGGCAGGTTCTTTCCGGGATTGTGGTAACTGGTGTCTCATATCGTGTGTGTATATATATATTTATGGAACTTTATGTAACAAGAAAGACAATGTTTGATCTGTCAGTTATATCTAACAAATAAAGTAATTATGGTGTATTACCGGCACAGGTAATACTTATTGTATATGTATGTATCATATTGTGATTGTATTTTCAAACAGTAATAAAAGTGTTTCCTCTAACTTAATGATATAATAATGAAGAACTTCGCAGCGTTAGGTTAAGTCGTTCAGAAGACTTGTTGATCAGGAAAGAATCATTGGAGTAAAATGAAGGCGCCTCTTACAAACAGTGGGCATGTAACAACATAACACAGAACTATACAGGTACCAAGTAATATGAGCTAGGCCATCCAGTGCATATAAGCTATAGATATTTCTTTTTATTTTTTAAGCGAATACAACACTTGGAAGTGTGGCTTATTAAGATACCAATCTCTGTTAAACTCCTTTGGCATGCTTCCTTGTTTAGAAATTCAGATTAAAAACTTATTTACAATTCTGAATAATTTGTGTACTTTATAATAGGCGGAGTTATAAACTTGTTACAACGAGTCTACACATATTTATAAACGATGTAAGATATTTAACGTTTTCCCAATATTTTTCTACAGCATGGCGCTTCTCACACGTAACTCGCGAAAAAACATGGATACTGCTTATATATATATATGATGTTAAAGGGAAAAGTACACAAAAATGTACATCAGACATACTAGTCGTACAATTCATTACAAATTTAGATTTCGATACAGTATAGTCAACCATTCTATTAAACCTCATCATACAACTTTGAAACTTTGGAGGATTTTGATCGAATAAAAGTCAAAATCTGGTTGAAAGGGACACAAGCATATATATATATATATATATATATATATATATATATTTAATAATTTCGAAAGACCGTCAAGTGCATGCGTTTATTCTGAACAATGCGTCTGAATGTAATAAGCTGTGGTAGCAGGTTACGATAAACCTCGGGGACTAAAAGACTACCTGCAATGTCTTCCATCTTTATTTACTAGGTTTGTAACAAGTAAATGATAGCTGACATCTGTATGTAGTTCTATATCTGTTTATGTTATCCATAGCTAATTACCCTAACCAAGTTTATACAAAATATTGATTTAAACGAAATACGCATTGTTCACAGCCAAACATTAAAGAAATCGACAGTTATCAAACATCTGCTTCATTTGCCTACGAACACCGAAATCTGCAAATTTCAAAGCTGTAAATAGAAAACTTGGTTCTGATTGGTACAAACTCAGCAAGTTATAGACAAAATATCATTGTAGGAACTGAGGATGTAAATTATTTCATTGGCAACAATTTTGTAAGGCTCTTGGTCACACTATTATATATCGGAAGCTGTATTACCTTGTTCCCTATTACAAGATAGGACAAGTTTCTATACTGTAGACTTGATAAAATTCATTTAGAAACTCAAATTCTTTGATAAGGTGTGATTTTTTTATTGTTGATTAATCAGGATGCAACAGTTTATGAATTCTTGTTTTGGAATATTTGATATACCAAGAAAACGATATGCAAATAATTTGATGGGTTCTTTATGTTTTTCTCTGAAATGTCTTGGATCAGTCCCTGATGGAATATCAAGTTTTCACCTTTTATATGTATTTTGAGAGCTACTGCCTTTTGTGAAGTTAAGCTTGGTATGTACATGTAGATGATGACCTGGTATCTCGTCACTGACAAGATAACAAAATATTATCTCGTGTTTAAGTCCATTAAAGCCACGGAAGTGATAAACAGATACGTAGCCGACATATTACGGCACAAGGCCATTGTTGTATGTAAATATATATATATATATATATACTGATAACAATGGGAGTTGAATGTTAACCTTAGTTCAAGGATTTGTCAGACACACAGACACAAAGCAGAAAAACTGTAGTCTGTACAAATCACACCTTACATTAGATTATTGAAACACACATAATCAACGCCGTGCACAATAACAAAGAATTTACATTGAGGATGTCTGAAAGTCATTGTTGACTGGATTGGACATAGTCAATGTAAACTAATGCCAATGTATTGTAGTCTTTAACTGACCTTACAAAGTTATGTGGGATACTCAATATGTCAGTTTGTAGATGTTTTGTCTGTGTATTACGTTGTGATTAGATAAACGATATATGAAGGTCAGGAGGTCAACATTTCTGAAATCAAACCTCTGTTCTGGTGATGATTTTTTAAATGTGTGATTTTAGAATGTGAACTAAAAGCACAGAAAGAATATAATGGATTATTAACAGGATCCAGAATTAAATATCGGTTTTTTTTCCTCAGATTTTTTTAAAATTACAGAAACATAACAACAATACATCACCACACAAAACTTTCACACACATTCATATATATTATAGAATAACAGTTGCTGATACATCATCATCATCATCATCATCATCATCATCATCATCATCATCATCATCATCATCGTCGTCGTCGTCGTCGTCGTCGTCCATGCCATGTACATCATTATCATCCTCATCAACATCAATGCCATGTACATCACCATCATCACCATCATCATCATCATCATCATCATCACGCTCCTTCTCCTCATCATGCGTGCCATGTACATCATCTCCCTCTTCATCATTATCATCATGCATGTCATGTACATCATCATTATCATCCATGCCATGTACATCATTATCATCATCAATTTCATCGTCATCATCCATGCCATATACATCATCATGCATGCCATACATCATCATCATCATCATCATCATCATCATCATCATCATCATCACCATCATTACCATTATTATGCATGCCATGTACATCATTATCATTATCATCATTATTATGCATGCCATGTACATCATCATCAACATTTCCCAAGGCCAGGGGAATTGAGAGAAAAATAGATAAGATAAAAATGAATGTCAAGCGCTATCTATATTTAATCATAATCATAGAACATATACAAATTATAGACTAACAAGTTTTCCCTTTTTTTTCCATTCTTTAACAGCATCACCTTTACTTACCGCTGTATACTTCTGAGCATTATGGTTATCCTTAATTGTGTTTACTAATGCATTTATATTCAAAGATTTATGAAGACATCGCATTTTGTAAATGTAATGTTTAATAATAAGAAGTATTTCATTAACAATCTTACTGTTATTCAAATTTTGCGTAAGAAATCCAAAGAGATAAGATTCTTTGTTAAAATTAAAAGGAATAGTAAGAATATCTAACAACCAAGATTTTGGACCTCCTGACAATAGTTGTTTCAGTTTCAGAATTACAAAGGATACACAAAGGAGATACCACTAGACGTGCTTTGAACAGGAAGGAATTTGCAGTCAGAATATGATGATTAATTCTACACTGAAACCATTGAAGTTTAGTATTTTTAGTGACCAGAAAAGGAAGTTTGAATATCTGATGCCAAGTGGAATTACTTATATTAAAAGTGTTATTCCATTTTTTCTGACCTGAAGGTACTACATTGTTTTTTTTATAAGAATCTTATAATAGTGTTTAGAACCCTTAGACATTCTTAAAAATAATTCTAAGTGTAAAGGAATAGTTGGAAGTAAAATTTTTGAACATGGAAAGTTATATTTCTTGATTGCAGAAAGAACACTATGATATTGAAGAAAATTAGCCTGTACCTGATATACTTGAGTGAATTCATGGAAAGTATAAAATCCACCAGAATGATGATCTTTTATCAGATCATCTGTTATCATAACTCCTCTGTCATACCAGTCTTTGATGAATACAGATTTTCTGTCTATAGTTATTTTATTGTTGTACCATAAAGGGGTTTTCAAGTAAACTTCATTGTTATCTATATTTCCATCACTAGCAGCATGCAAATTTTGACAGGCTTTTAAAACATCAATCCAAAATTTATTTTTACATTTATTTTTAAAAAAACTGAATATAGTCTGTGCCACAGTTAGCTAATAAATCTATATTTACATATGTTTTAAAAATAGCTTGCCATTTTGACGAACTTTGAAAAACCCTTCTGATCCAACTTAATTTAAGTGAATCTATAAATGCTTTAACATTTACCATTTTGATCCAACCAGTAATGTAATCCTGAATTACAATATCCCTTCTAATTTTGTCTCTTTTACTATCACAAAAACTCATATAACATGGAGTTAAGTTCTGAAAGGAATTTGTCATCTGGATTTGGCAGTGCAATGAATAAGTAATTAAGTTGTGAAATTAGTGTTGATCTGATTATGTTCATTTTACCTATCGGTGTTAAAATTCTTCTTTTCCGTGTAGTAATAAGTGATTTGAGTTTTGTTAGTTTCTTATCAAAGTTTAATTTGGGTATCTTGCGCAAGTTGACATTGAATTCAATCCCAAAAAGTGTAAAGTGATTTTTACCCCATTGTAAATTTAGTTCTGGAAGAAATTTCTCAGTGCTATATTTCTTACTACCTATCCAAACTATCTGAGTTTTTGAAATATTTATTTCCTGACATTCTTGCATAGGAATTATGCTCTTTGATTGATTCTTGCAGTGATAATTCGTTACCATGGAGTGCAAGTGATGCATCATCGGCATACTGCGACAGAAGAATGGGACAGTTATTAATACCTTTGATTTTATGGTTGTGTCTTACTCTAATGGCTAAAATTTCTGCACAGAGAATGAAAATATATGGCGCAATTGGATCACCTTGACGACAACCTCTTTTTATAGGAAAAAATGAAGATAAGTTCCCTTCCTGATTAATGGTAGCACTAACATTATTATGTAAAACTTTAAACCAATTAATTATACAGTTTCCAAAACCCAGAAAATGTAATACTTTTTCAATAAAAATCCAAGAGACCGAATCAAACGCTTTTTCAAAGTCTATCATTAAAAACATGCCTGGAATATCCTTTTCTTCTGCATATTGCATAACATCATAAACAAGTCAAGTTTCTCCTATATACCGTCCCGCTAAAAATCCTGTCTGATCTCT